GCAAGGAGGAAGGGCGAGCCCGCGCGCTAGGGTCCCCCCCCCCCGCGGCGCTCGCGGGAGCGGCCAGGGAGGGGAGTGAGGGAAGGGAGCGGTCCAAGAACCTCTCTGGCTCTACGTTCGTCATCTCAACATTTATCTGGTGATAAAAAACTACATAAAACAATACTTAAGCAAGCTAACCAATTTCAAAGGCTTCAAAAGTTTTGCGGTTCAATAGGTGGGGACCTACTATCGTTGAACGCACACTAGGGTGTGGGCAGCCGTTCGAGTATGTTGGCTTATCTCTATATTTGGTAATTTATAGATGTGTTTGGTTAGAGGGATATGCTAGAGTGGCTATGAGTATCCCCATCCAGCTGGATATGGATAGTCATTTTTTCCGTTTGGCTGGATGAGTGAGGTTAGCCCAAGTATTGTTTGGTTTGAAGGATGAATCATGGTTGGGGATAGCCATTGGGGCGTTTGCTTAGAGGGATGAGTAATGGATATGGGTTGTGGTTGGGGATAGCCATTTGCAGGGCTACGATGGCCGAGCGTCACTCACCTGTTTTTCACCGCCGTCATGACCTCTGCTGACAAAGAGAAGCAGGGCCGACAAGATAAGGGAGGTGCACACTCACATCGTTGTCGGGCTTCGGTCTCCTGTCACTGATGCACAGTCACCGTCGTCGTCGGGCTTCGATTTGCCGCCGCCGCTGCCACGGGAAAGAAGGGAGATGGAAAGGGGAAAAGAGATAGGGTTGTCTTCGCATGGGGCACGTGCGGGATGCCCACATCCGTCAGATTTTCATGAATGCGCGGAGCTTGATTTTGGACGAATATTCTGAGCATCTAGCCATCCCTGTCCATACTCGCCCATGAACCAAACGACTGATATCCACATAAAAATGGATATCCCTGTCCCATAGAGGGATAACACAGCATCCAAACACATCCTATGATCTATAATCCGGACGGGGCATTTTTGCTCCCAGGCTCAGATGAGCCTGAGAGTGAACAGTAAATTCACAAAAAATAGTAAAAAAAATCCAAAAAATATAGGTGAAAGACACTCGAATTCTTGATGTTCGTGCAAAAATTCAGCGCGTTTCAAACATCTCGCGAGCTCTAAAAAAAGACAAATTTAGGGTATGTGGAAAAGTTTACTGTTTTGCATTGTTCGGACCTGATTTTGTTCTTTTTGCTGAGAGTTATATAAATGTCCAAATGAGCTATAACTTGGCACGGTATTCACACACTCAAGCATCTTTCACCAATTTTTTTTTGTATTTTTTCTAGTATTTTGTTTGAATTTACTGTTCGCATGGTGTAAATGAGCTCGGGAGCCGAATTGGATATTCGCTGTAATCCATACTTTGTTCTCTCTATATAAACTACCATGGGGCTCAATACAACATCCATCAGATTCCGTAATATTCCTCTTCTTGCTAAAATGGAATAGCATGGGCATCCCTCCCAGTCACTCTTCATCGGAGCATATGTCCCCTCCAATCTTTTGAGTCTGAACATTTTGAAAACTCTACCCACTGTTTTTTCTTGGTTACAAAAATCATTGTGTAGTAATGATGACGAAGAGGAGAATAAAACCGGAGGCAAGTATTAGTAGAACTTGATAATTTGCTGCTTTTCCATGGCCTGAGAAGATTAAAGAGCATGGTATGCTGCGGTGACAAACAAAAGATGATTTAATGTCTGGATCCATGTGCCAGAAATAATGAGATGAACATGGTTGTGACAGGGTAGATGGTAAGTGGAAGTGATTCGAGAGAAAAAAAAACACGGGGATAAGAGAAGCAAAGAGGAGCTAAATTGTACATTCATAATTTCTACCTGGTTATGTACATTATTTTCCTCAATAGATTTGTATTGTGTTTTCTCAAGAAGAATTGTTGAGATGCATCCACAGAGAAATAATCGCTGACGTGCCATCCATAGGTTCAACG